GATGTTGGTTTTGTGTTTGACTTGAATTTTTGGGTTGATTTTGCAAAACTAAAATAAATTTAATTTAACGTGTGAGTTCAAAGGCAAAAATAACTTCACAAATATATATCATTATATTATATTATTATATTCTTTTAATTTGAAAATAATCGTATTATAATTTTTTTTCAATTTTCTCTCTTCAATTATATACAATCAAAAATTTTACTTTATGAATATTTATTTATGTGTTTTCTGTTGTTGAATTTTTTTATTAAAATATATTTTCCGGATAACAACACAATATATAGGAGTTATCTTTTTATTTTTAAATATATATTTAGATTATGGATAATTCTTATCATTATTATTAATTTAAATAATTTATCCAATCAAATAAATATTAAATTCGTTTTTATTTTTAACTGATTTATATATTTATATATTTTATTCATTAAGGGTATAAACGATATTAACCACTCCAACTTTTAACGTGAGAGCTCCGTTGCAAAAAATCACTTCGCAAATAATAGTATAGATTGAAAAATAAGTTGGTCCACATTCAATTTTTATATGTCGCTAGATACATTCGTTGGTCAAATTATATGATTTGATGATATGATATGATATTTATGATATAAGCATTATGATTATTCCCCTAGATATAATTACTATTTTATTTTCTTTCCATAAATGAAACCTACGGAATTACCATAAATGACTAATATATATATATATATATATATGACACTTAATGATTCTAATAATAAATATTTGATAATAGTTTATATATCCTCCATCATTTTTCTTTAATTTTACTTCATCCACAACAACTGAGCTTAAAAACACAATCCCAACAACAATATTTATTTGTGGTCGGAGAGAAAATTTTGGTTATATTGTAGATGAGGACGCTAACATAACCACAAATAAACAACTAGGAATTTTTTATAAAATTTGTGGATATGGAACTAAATTTTGAGTTAGTGGATAGAACAACCACTCAAATACTAAAGTTCTCAACCACTAGACTCATGTGAATGGGTGTGACCTGTGTTCGAAAACGCGGCCGCCGCGGCGAGTAATCGGCCACCTAGGCGCTGTTCGGTGGTCAACCGCGGCGAGAAGAACCAAATCAGAGAGGTTAGGAGGCTGGCCGATTTTCGTTCACTTAGAGCGCTTTATAACGAAACGCGGGCGCCTAGAATCAAGTTGGTTTTGTTCAAATTTCTAATTCAATTAAGAAGCCCAAAACATAAACTAATTCAATTACAAAAGCCCAAAACATAAACTAATTAATACAAAAGCCCAAAAGACAAAACTAAACTTATGCTAAGACAAAACAAAAAACCTTACGTTTGGGAGTTGTCGTGACTTGACAAACCCTAAAAAAATACAGAGAGGAAAGTGTGAAGTTGCAGACGAACTGAAGCTGAATCGTGTTTCTTCCATAAACACACCTTCTCCTTCTTTTGCGAAATCGAGGTATTTTCATTCTTTTCACTCTGGTATCAGACAATTTACTGCATATTGTTAATTTTAATTAGTCAATTTTGTTTCTTGGTTGAATTGGTTTGAGTTCTGAAATTATTAATCATTGTTACAGAAGATGGATAATCAACCAACAGATGCACCTCATCCTTTTAAGAGAAAATCAAACGACGTGGGATGGGAATATGGCGTCTTGTATGATCCTAAAAATTCAGACAAAGGTTGTGGGAAACATTTTTCTGGTGGGATTTTTAGAATGAAGGAACACATTGCTCATGTCAAAGGGAATGTGTCAGCATGTCCTGTGTCAACAAAAGCTGATCAAGATAAATGTATGAAGGTAATTTTTTAGGCAAGAGAAAAGAAGAATCTGAAGCGGAAACATGATCAAGATTTGAGAGCAGAAGTGAATATAAATAGGGACACCAATGCTGAGGAGTTGGAAAAAGAGATTGGAACTCTTAAAAGTCCTCACTTTCAAGATCCCATTGATCACTTTGCAACTTCCATTAATCCTGAAGCTTCTTTGGCTGCACAAAAACGGCAACAAAGTATTCATGATGCCATTTCTAAAGAGAAGACTCATGATGTCCGCCAGTATTGTGCTAGCTGGATTTACCAGTCAAATATAGCTTTCAACGCCGTAGACAATGACTCTTTCATTATTTTTTGAAGCAATGGGACAGTTTGGGCCTGGTTGGATGCCTCCAAGTCAATATCAGCTGAGAGAGCCGTTGTTAAATGAGGAGCGTCAAAAGGACAAAAGAAATGTTGAAGAGTCTAGAAGAAGAATGGGAGAATGAAGGCTGCTCAGTGATGACAGATGCTTGGTCTGATATGAAAAGAAGAAGTATAATGAATTTGTGTCTGAACTCAAGAGGAGGTACATGTTTTCTTTCATCAAAGGACGCTTCTAAGGATTCTCACACAGGTGACTACATCTTCCAGTACATTGACCAGTGGATTGAAGATATAGGACCTGAAAAGATAGTGCAAGTGGTCACGGACAATGCTACCAACAATGTGGCTGCTGCGAAGATGCTAAAAGAGAAGAGACCAAGGATATTTTGGACAGGATGTGCTGCTCACACAGTGGATTTGATGCTTGAGGGAATTTCCAAGCTTCAATATTTTTCCAAGATAATTGATCAAGCCAAGGCTGTGACTATCTTTGTCTACGCTCACCATAAAACCTTGTCAATGATTAGATCTTTCACGAATAATCAAGATATAGTCAAACTAGGAGCGACCAGGTTTGCTACATGTTTCTTAACATTGCATAGTCTATATGACAAGAAGGCACAAGTGAAGAGCATGTTTAGTAGTGATGAGTGGCATGATTGTAAGCATTCAAGGTGTGTGAAGGGTAAGAATGCGTTTGATACTGTTATGAGTCACGGATTTTGGAGCAGTGTGATGGTTGTGTTGAAGATCTTTAGTCCTCTAGTTAAGGTTCTAAGGCTAGATGATGGAGAGAAAGTGCCTTCTCTTGGCTTCATTTACGGTGAGATGTTAGAAGCTAAAAAGTCTATCAAGGAAGGATCAGATCATTTGGAGAAGAATTACGAACCTATCTTTCGCATTATCGATGAGAAGATGAAAAATAAGTTGGATTGCCCTCTGCATATTGCTGCATATTTTCTCAATCCCTTTTATTTCTACAAAGACTCCACCATAC